CAACCTGAGATTGTACAAACATATATAAAATTGTCACCATAATTAGTTGAAACTAACAAGAGTAATTAGTGCACAACTTTGGAAACATTCAGTGTCATGATACTGCAGTGGTCCCCATGAAAGTTGTTGGCTGATAACTTACAAGTACAACGGAGGTGTATGTCACAAGTATGGTTGAAACAATGAAAGCTTTGCCTTTGGTTTGCATGAACACCTTTTTTGGGCCTAGAAAAATTAATGTTGTGTTTCTGGTTTGGGTTCTGAAAAAACGAGGGTCAGTAGGTAGGGATTGTTGACTCTCCCAATTACCTGTCCACCTGCTTGTGGACAAATATTTCACCTGATTTACTGAAGAAAAATTGCTTCTGAAATTGCCTTAAATGACATGTCAGAAATAAAGAGGGTTTGAAATTCAGATGTCAAATCAAAAATTTTATAACACTAGTGGTCAATTAATTAAAAAAAAGGCTAGGGTTGATGTTTTGTTTTGTTTACATGATTGCCATACATGAAGCCAAGTGACTGTTGTATGAATCTACATGCTAAGGAGAAAGCAATAACAGACTGTCTTGTGTCTGCAGGAATCCCCATCTCCCAGCAGCACCTCATCTGGCGCTCCGTGGAGCTAGAAGACGACTACTGTCTCCATGACTACAGGTAAACAAAATTAATTTGCCGCCTTTATAAATCCTCAGTACATATGGTGGCATTGGGCCTGCCACGAGGAATAGGTAGGACACTGATATAGATTTTTAATGACTAAACTAAACTTGTTTATTCCCGCTATTGAATTTGTCTGGTCATATGTGAAGTCTGGTAGACTCTGGTATGAACGTACTGACGAGTGGTACGTCACAATGTTTAAACATGTTGTTTACTGTGAACATTGATCTAAAGTATCAAACTTCGCTGTGGTACCTAACAACACAGATGAGCTGTCATGCTAATAATACATGATGTTATCATTGCGAGAAAATTTGAAAATAGCATATACATGTACTATGTGGCATAGTTTAATTTTGGAAGGTAGGTTCAGGTAAATGTTTTCTTGGTGACAATGACTGAGAGTATGTTTGTTGTTCCAGTATTACTGATGGCAGCACTCTCAAGCTGGTTCTAGCCATGAGAGGAGGGCCTATCAACACAAGGAGAGGTCAGTCACATGTCAAATTCTACCTGTTTTGTGACAGTTGGAGCTCATGCAAGTGATTAAGTCATTCAAGTAGAGGAAATTAACATAGGTTACCCAACAAGACGTACACATGTACCAAATAATCTGATAATAATTCTTTGTCCTTTTCTTGGATCCCTTATTAGTACTTCACACATATATATAGCAGTTTTGAAAAAAAAAGCATATGTTTTTCATAAGATTCATATATTTTTGCGTCAAGCTTCATGCGTTTCTCATCAAATTCATACAAGCGCTAAGCCACCCCTGCACATGACTAACAATAACTTGTTGTTCTGACAGTTCCCATGGAAGACCCAGCTATTCGGGAGATGGCTGAGTACATGGAGGCCAACAAGGAGGAAATCCTGGACAAGCTGCCCAACAACAAGCAGGTCACCCTGCTGGTGTTCCGCGAGGGAGACCAGCTCAACTTTTTCCGAGTGGTGGACAGAGGAGACGGCACGCTCACACCTCTCTCTGAATCATTAAGGTCAGTGTTAATACCTACACTACTGTAAATGCATTTATGTTCGCGAGGACTAAATTTCGCGTCTGCATTTTGCAGAGACAGTTTCAATATTACAGCAGAAGAATTAAGCAAACTCCAATTTTGCAGACTGAAAAAATAGTCTAGGGGTTCAATGGTGTTAGCATAACAGTTTTGATGCGTCATAAAGTTGATACTCTCCCTTGCACAGTGGTGCATCTGTGTACAACCTGTATGATGAGGAAGAGGAGGAGGAGCAGCCATCCCAGGAACAGATCAGAGACAATAACGTCACTGCCACGAAGATGAGAGCACTCAGGACCAAGATGGAGAGTCTCAGTCTCAGCAAAAAGGCAGGCACACTTTTTCTTTTCTATCACAGTCTTCTTTTATTGTGGAAATGTACGAGAATATTAGACTACATAATTCAATGATACTCCAGTTGTATGAAACATGTTATGCTCTCATATACCAGTGTTATTACTAATCCCCCAAGATGAGATACATTTATGTTATTTTTAACCCTCTAATTTTTAGTTTTATGTTAACAATATTCCTTGTGTGTTTTCTAAGACTTTTTTGCGCATTGTCTTTAATTACCACAGCAACCAAAGTTCAAGCCGAGACCGCCATCAAGTGGTCGTCCAAGTAGCAAAACTTCCTCTCGACGAAAGAAACTTCATCTCCGTACCTCACAAAACTCAGGGCAAGCTCTCAACAGGAACATGCCCCTTCCTCCTGTAGGAGGGTCCTCTGTCTCACAAAGTGATGCTGAGGATGCCAAATCTGATCCTCAAAAGGATGCAGAAAGGACCCAGAAGCCAACTCAATACCCTTCTCCTAGAACTAGATTAGAGCACCTCCCTAGTGCCAAATTGAAAAAGCCATCAGCAAAGTTAAAGTCTGACCAGGCTGCTGAGCCCAGGTCAGGCTCAGCGTCAGCAGAAGGTGTGAAGGAGGACCAATCTGCTGTCAGGGCCAGAGTGACAGATTATGGTGCTCCCTCCAGACTGGCTGAGGACTCGTCTTCCAGTAGGGACACAGACTCTTCCAGTGAGGAAGAAAGGCACCAGCAAGACTCGCGTGCTGCTTGTGCCACCACTGTAACTTCTCCTAGAAAACGGCAAGAACTGCAAAGAATCTTGGAGCAAAAGGCTGAAACATCCTCCCAAGGAACGGATTTACCCAGAGACCTTACAGACGGCAAAGTGCAAAAGAAGGAGGGTTTGCAAGGGATCGAAAAAGAGAAGAAGGAAGTGATTCAGTCGCTGAAGAAAGATTTTGTTGGACTTGAACACCGTAAAGCAGGGACCAGTGCAGGGTTTCCATCCACGGTGGACTCCCCCTTCAGGCGTTGGGAACATGGATATGTGTCAGCAGAGGCCAGGACTGTAGACCTTGTAAATAAAGTTCCTGTGTCACTGGAGAAGCTTGGCGGTAGAAAGGAGGTGCAGCACTTGGGTAGCTTGGTCAGGAGTGCTACCAAGGAGAGTTTACGAGGTAGGTGTCAATTTTAATGGGTTTTGATTTCACGACAAATATGGCATTTAAAGACGACTTGCAAAGTGCACCTTCTATGTCATATTTTTTTTAGTCATATCTTTTCTGTTGGCAAAAATAACATTCACCTTCTATGCTGTAGTTTAGTGTGGTCAAATCTTTACTGTTGGCAAAATTAACATTCAACCTGGAAGTATCCCTTCCAGTGAAAAATCACACTGAAATCTAAAAACAATGCTAGGTCATTTGATCTAGTTGTACAAGTTGTAGAGTTACATCTTATAAGCTATAAGCATTACAAAAGGCACTTTCCTTACATAAGAAGCTATTTATTTCTTGATTGGTTGATTCTTTGATGATTGATCGAATCATCATTTTTAGCTGTAAATCATGCCAAATGAAGGGAGTAGTTGTTTAAAGTTATTAAACAGATATTAAATATAATGTAGTGTGCTAAAGAGCAGGTGAAAGGAAACAGATGCAAGGAAAAGTTGGTGAACCAACATCTCTGTGGGTTGTGTTTGTGTAGGCTTGAGTGGGAAACACAGAATGCCACCAGAAGGTCTTGGCTACTCTAGTAATGCTGCTGGCCTACGGAAACATGACCGAAGAATCGGCACTCCAGACAGGAGTAGACTCATAGTAAGTCTTCTTTACGAGCCATTTTCTAGGTAATTATGTTTACCAAAGGAAAACATACTGTTTTTGCTCAGTTTCTTCCTCTTCTTTTTCTTCTACAAACAAATAAGGTCAATGACCTAAATCAGACATTTGTTACCATGGTAACTAGTGTTGGGTTACTGTTACATGTTGCAATTTTATAGCAGGAGGGATTTAGACTCCTGTCACCAGAAAATGATATATATGGATGTTGTTTGAGTAAGAGTTAACAGAGCAGACCATATGCAAAGGTAACCATTATGCATTTGCTTTGCAAATGTTACTTTCTAGTAATGATTGGAATTATTGGTCTCACTCTGATACATTAGCAAAAACTAAGTAAGTAATGATAATGTTAACTTCAATTTTATTTTAAAAGTGCAAGCACTAAACCTACTTTTGTTGTGTAGTCTGCCCACAGTATTCGTGATTTGTCCGGGAGGATATCAGCTTCGGGGAGAGGGACAGGTATTACAACTTTATTTATTTAAGTCACCCATCCACTATGAAGTCAGCAGAGAGCTGCTAAAATGTTGGTAGAGATAAACACTTGTGTAATAGTATGAGTGACATATTGATTTTGAACATGTTTACTACATGTACTATATTGTATTATCAACTTGATGAAACAGTTAGGGTTTTGTAGATGTGTTTTTCTCATATGCACATTTGAAATGTTTTTTGAAAATTAACTGGTGTTAAAATTAACTGGTGTTGCAGAGAAAACGTTTATGGCATTGAAGCAGTGCAAAGCTTATTATTAGTTGCTTAATTTATTGCATGTGTTTTGCTAAGATTGTTTCTAATTTCCCTGCAGTATCCCCCATCCACCGACTGCCCCCTGTCAAGCCCCCTCAGCTGCATACCAAGAAGAAGTCTGGTAAGAGGTGCTTCCTGTGTGGCAAGAAGACAGGACTTGCTACAAGCTATCAATGCAGGTTGGTATCCCATAGACTGCTCTCGTGTGTAGCATGTTAAAAGTGTAAAGAAGAATGTATTGCCACCATAGACAGCTTAAGGTTATTTTTTGGTGAAACTCAAGGGTAGAGGCATTTTTTTTACAGTATTACAATTGCTCTGGAAATATTTGAAAATTGCACCACATAATTAATTTTGTTGCACCTCAATAACTGCATAGGCATGTAGATGTCATCAAAAGAAAGGACATGTATGATTTTGTAATCTACAAGCAGATCCAGTGGGCGTAATGAAGATACTATCAAGTTGACCAGCCCGTATCCAGTTGGCTTCCATAGTATCTGATTGGATCATCCGGATGTCCTATGGAAGCCCATTCCAAAAGAAGATAAAAAGTTGTATGTAACTTGTTCTTATGGTTAATGTTTTCTTTCCCTCCAGATGTGGCAACAACTTCTGTGCTACACACCGCTATGCTGAGGCCCATGACTGTACCTATGACTACAAAGCTGCTGGTCGCAAATACCTGGAGCAAGCCAACCCTGTAGTTAGTGCTCCCAAGTTGCCAAAAATCTGAGTTCCCAAGCCACAGACTTTTTGTATCTGTTGGGAACCAGGGAGACTTGTGCTTTCAGCAGAGTTGTGTAGAGCAGGAGAAAGGACTGTTGTGTTGATGGCATTGGGATGTGTACATGTAGGTTGTTATGCACAGTGATACCATCTGTAGACACAGCTACATAGATATATCAAAGGGTACAAGTTATAAGAGGAAGGCACTTTGAGTAAGACATGGCAATTTTTGGTATGTTTTGTTTTCTGTATCAAATATGTTCCAGTATGAAGTAAAATTAAGGGAATTTTGTTGGACAAAAATAACATAACATAAAATAACATTTGTTGGACATACTAAGGTAGAACAGAAAGATGGGGATGGGATAGATGTTTGGACAATGTGATCTGAAGGTTTCTGCATCACTGTGCATCAACTGATAAAGATTGTACACATAGCATTGCTACCATACCATCTATTTTTCTCCTATTCCACTGATTCTGCAGTGTGAGTTTGAGTCTTCTTGTATTTTCATGGTACTCTCGAGCATCAACTACTCTGAGTGGGTTGTTCCAAACTTTTTAAAGATTTTATATGAAACTTATCTTTTATGGCATGTGTGAATTGAAAGCAAGTTGATAAATGTTGTTTGCTCTATAAATATTCTGTATGTCTGTTGCTTTCTTACGTTGTTGGTTCCATCATGTGTTGTGAATGTTTAGTGTGTTTTCAAAGAAAGAACTGTACCTCATGTGGTCATATACTTTTTCCTAAGGAAACGAAGTACAACTAATATTTTATAACATGCAGATTGAATCTTGCGGTGTCTTTTGCTGTACAAACGATATTCATATGAGTTCCAGTAATTTTCATTTGTTAGCCTTTTATTTTCTCAAAATATTCTTATTCAACCCCAATTGTTTGAGTTGATGGAACAGTAAACAATTCAAAGCATTTAAGCAGAACAAGTTGTTCCTCTGATATGTAAGGGATGTAAGAAGCCTTTTCTTACAGATAAGCTATATTCTTCTGAAGTCCTAATCTAAGAACAGCTTTGCTGTTAAATGGTTAAAAGCCTGTAATCTAGAAACTGCGTGCAATAGGCTTGCATCGTAAGTGCGAAGTTTGCCAAATTGTTTCAAGAAAAGTCTAGTACCTTTTACCTTAAGTTTGCCCTCCCACAGTATTGTATGCTGAGTACTTCTCTAAGAGTTGCAAATTATCAATGCCTCCTGTTGAACTGTTACACAATAATATAATACTCTGGATAAAAGGCTAGAAATGGGGACATGTTAAAATGTAGATGGTGTGAAGGAGGTGGACACACCCCAGATTTATGTTCGTCTGCAATTGAGGCTGCACACTCTCAAGTCTAGTGACCGTCCCTGCCAGGAAAATACAGAGCCTCGGATAATCCCATGAAAATCCCATAATCCCATTAAAAAAATTCTCTGCCACAAATCCCTATTACAAAAGAATTGGGGTGTGCACCCTTAACCATGCTACTTTTGTATCTATGTTTAAAGTGATTTTTGCCCGATTCTCAACATATTCTCAACATATGCACTCCTAGTCATTTGCTCAAGGTCAGTGTGTCTTTGACCGTAATCAAGTAATAGAGTTTTAGCATTCTATAGCAGCACACTTTTCTATATTGAATGATGACTCCAATGAGTCCAGTACAAAAAAAAAGTTATGCTTTGGATGGATGGATTGCATCTACATGTACTTCACTCTCTGAGTTTGACACTAAATTTAATTTTTTCTTTACTTGTGAGTCCCCATAGCAAATAAATAAATAGCTGTTTGATATTGCACAGTTTCAAAGATGTGATCTACCAGACTGTGCATATTAACTAACCTCAATTATACAGGTCTACACTTAACAGCTGTCCCTAATCATCCATTAAGCCATAGTAGAAGTCATTTATATACTACATGTATGTATATCCAGATCACTGTTGTTGTCTTTGGAATAGTCTTTGGAAGAAATATGTTTTGAGGTTGAACTACCATGATGGTTTGTCACAAGGCAGTTTGTTTCATTCAGTTTGACATTCATTCTCCACTATTTCATCCTATTATGATAAAAAAAACATATCTGTCTTTTCAATTACATTGTCTGCCATGCCATGGGAGTTAAGAAGTACCAGTATAGGGTTTTGTAAAGCCTGGTGTGTGTTTTAGACACGACTTCTTTGGCTGATTTTATGTCCCTCATTTTTGTTGGAGTGCTGTTGTCTATAAAGAGAAATATTATAACATGTTCAAAATCATGCAATGCTTAGATGTGGGAATATGAGCTAATAGTCAGATTTTGAATAGAACGAATGACTCTACAAATGATTTCAATAAAATTGTGATGACATTTTCAATTATTGTAACAGTAATATTTGTCGTTATACTTAGACAAAAAAATGAAAATGTACAGCATAAGCTAGCTGCTCTAGAATACAATACAGGATACTGTAGTTTTACAAAAAAGATCGCGTTTGGAGCACTGAAGTCCTATAGTTTTTTTGACAAGCCTAATAGTATAATTAGTGTAAACAGCAGGAGTTTCAGCAGGAGTTATTTCAAATACGTCGTTATTTTCCAGTCTATATCTAAAAATAACTTTTGCTTGCTTGCTTGGACTTGCAGGCTGCAGCCACTGTAGCCACTGTGTATTGTACTATACAATGGTACACATGAGTGTCACATGAGATCTTAATAGAAATGCCAAATATGAAATGCCAAATATTCGATAAAATCAGCGATGGATGATGTCTGGAAAATTGGAACAGGATCTTAGCCCAGGCCTCGGTCCATATTTTTCCGCGCAAGGTGCACCGTTACCGGAGAAACGGGCCTGCCGATATTTCACGGGTGTTATGTTTTCAACAAGCAATTCAAGCATATATAATTCAAACATATACAATTAATACAGATAATACAGACACACAGAGTATTAATTACCTATCTTTATATGTACATTTTTTTGTTTGATAACGAAATGCACTAATAACATCGGGAACATACGCATACTTCCGTCAAGTGGGTTAGGGGCGTCTGATAATCTGATACTACTCTGTCGTATTTAGGGGCGGGAATACATTTTATCGGGTTAGTCTTGATGTGAGCATGGCTACGTTCAGAACGAATTTCTTTGACAAACGGCCTTCTGCTGAGACAGAGGCAAAGTTACGGGCCAGGATTGCGCAGAGGAGTGTTGCGAGCAGTGGGGGCTGCTTGACATGGACCGGAGCAAGGTCCAGACGAGGATACGGCCGGATGAGGGTCACAACAGCAGGAGATGAGCAAGAGGTCAGCCCTCACAGAGTGGCGTTTTTCTTGTGCTCTGACCGCCCAAACCTCGACAGCAATATGCACGTTAGCCATTTGTGTAACAACAAGGTCTGTGTCAACCCCGGTCACCTGTCGTATGAGGAGGGCGTGATAAACCAGCAGAGAAAGAACTGTTTCTCTGAAGGACGGTGCACCGGCAACCACCCAGGTTATCCCAACTGCATCATAGCTCAATAAACAAACATAGACTGTACCCTACCCTACCCTGCTCCGTACCCCACCCCCTGGAAACCAACCAATTCATCGTCCCTCACTGTTTGTCCTCTGCCACCAACCACCAACCCCACCCCAAAGTAACAAAAGTATATAAATGTGACGGTGCACGTTCCATCATATGGCCCGGGCCCGGCTATAATATTGCAGTCTAAAATATTGCAACTTTCAACCAAGCTCATAAAATGAACGGCTAAATGTTTTCCACCAGTAATAGGTTCGCTAAAACTCTTACAAACAATACAAATCTTCTAAAAGTTTCATAATCTAAAAGTGTGTTTCATGTACAACAGAGAAAAATCGTCTGAATGTGCAGCTGTACCAATGTGGTGCTAATTGTGTCTGATTCTTGCTGTAGATTATAGTTACATCGAGCAGGCGACCTCGATGAAAAGTGCCGTCCTGAAAATGGCCCTTTGGATGTTTTCGTCGGCTCAGACTCGTTTTTGTTTAATAATCTGTAAAATGAATATCAGTTGGAACCTTTGGTGCAAGTTCAAACTATGGAAAGATGTAACGTTAATAAGCCAAAGGAAAGTACGTTAGCAAATAACGTTAGTTTTACATGACAGGTGTTCAGGTCCTAATTACTCCCTAAAGATGCCATGATATTGTAACAACAAAAAGAAACAACACGCAACATGGATGCTCTAACCTTCACGTGTGTATCTGTGGTAAAATTTCGTCGTGGGTATGTGGGCACTGGAACCGAGGCCTGACAAGATTCAGGCACCAAGTAAGTCTGAAATTCGAACAACTTCGTCTACGTTTCCATGTTAAAAGCCTGCGCCGCGATTACTCCGCACGTGTAGTCTCTAAAAGAGTCCGGTCTAAAAATTAATTTCGCGCTTTACACGCATGGTTATGTCGATCATAAAATCCCTTTTAGCGAACAAACTTAATATGAAAAGGATTTCGGATGAAAGCTTCATTATTGCGGACAGGATTCGGTCAGACAGTTATGACAATGTCGGACGTATACACGATTTTGCCCTGAGTTCTGCGGCCGGGTACATGATTCGATCGCTCTGGTGTGTTGGCCTGCCAAGTTGATGATATTGAAATGAAAGAAGAAATGCCGGGTGTGTGAGGAAGATGTGTTTTCTTGTTTTAGGTGCCTCTCTTTCCCCCCTGTTAGCTGCCACGGGTTCTGTGATCGGGTTTTGTGAGCGGCGGTCGGGTTCAAGTTCAATCGTTATCGCTTCTCGGCCTTTTGGCTAAGATCAAGTGTAGTATCTGTTCTTATCAGTTTAATCTCTGATACATTCGCCATAGGCGAATCTAGATTAAATTGATTTTTGTAATTCGGTCATGGACTAGGGGCTTGCTCCGTCCTGAC